AGAACATTCTTGTTCACGGAGGAATTCTTTGCTTATAGATTGGGTGAAACACAAGCAGAGCCATAGTATTCAGCTAAGAAAATGCTCTGACTGGGGGTTGGAATTTAAAAGTCTGGTTGGTGAAATTTAAAAGTCATTAAATGTGCTCTAAATGAAGAGCTTTTTATGAGTGGAGACTTACTAGTTTGTGCACTAGTCTTCAATATTCCCTTATAGATCTTTTTGGAACATCCCTTTCACAGAGAACAAAGGTGCTTGAAAGTAACATACTCTGAATTAGTGTAGATTACTGGTCCAACCTGTTGTGCTGCATATTCTGTCACTGCACTTCCTGAGGAAAGATGCTGTCACTCTCATCTTCAAAAGGGCAAAAAGGAAGATCCAAGAAACTACAGAAGAGTCAGCCTCACCTCCATCCCTGGAAAGACGATGGAACAGCTCATTCTGGGCAACATCACAAAGCATGTGGAGGAAAAAACGGTTATCAGAACTAGACAACATGGATTCACTAAGGGGAAATCATGTCTGACTAGTCCGATAGCCTTCTACGATGGCATGACTGGGTGCATAGATGAGGGGAGGGCAGTGAATGTTGTCTACCTTGACTTTAAAAAGGCTTTCAATGCCATCTTCCACAGCATCCTCATAGGCAAGATTAGGAAGTGTGGGTTAGACGAATGGACAGTGGAGTGGATTAAAAATTTGCTGAAAGACAGAGTTCAGAGGGTTGTGATTAGTGACACAGAGTCTAGCTGGAGGTTGGTAAGAAGTGGTGTTACTCAGAAGTTAGTACTAAGTCTGTTCCTGTTCGATATATTCATCAATAACCTGGATGAAGGGATAGAGCACACCCTGAGCAAGTTTGCTGATGACACAAAACTGGGAGAGGTGGCTGACACACAAAAGGACTGTGCTGCCATCCAGAATGATCTGGACAGGGTGGACAGCTGGCCAGGGAGAAATCTGGTGAAATTCAACAAGGACAAGTGAAGATTACTGCAGCTAGGGAGGAATAACCCCATGTATCAGCACAGGTTGGGGGCCTACCTGCTGGAAAGCAGCTCTGTGGAAAAAAACCTGGGAGTCCTGGTGGGCAACTGGATGACCATGAGCCAGCAATGTGCTCTTGTGGCCAAAAAGGCCAATGGCATCCTGGGATGCATCAAGAAGAGTGCGGCCAGCAGGTTGAGGAAGCTTATCCTCATGCTCTACTCTACCCTGGTGAGGCCGCATCTGTTGTACTGTGTCCAGTTCAAGAAGGACAGTGGACTGCTGGAGAGGATACAGAAAAGGGCTACAAAGATGATTAGGGGACTAGAACATCTCTCATCAAGGCTGAGGGACTTGGCGCTTTTTAGTCTGGAGAAGAGAAGACTTGAGGAGGACCTCATCAATGTTTATAAATACCTAAAGGATGGGTATTAGGAGGATGGAGCCAGCCTTTTTTCAGTGGCACCCAGTGACAGGACAAGAGGTAAAGGGCACAGACTTGAACACAGGAAGTTTCATCTAAACTTGAGGAGGAACTGCTTTACTTTGTGGGTGACAGAGCACTGGAACAGGCTTCCTGGAGAGTTGGTGGAGTCTCCATCTCTGGAGACATCCTAGGCAACCTGCTCTAGGTGATCCTGCTCTGGCAGGGGGATTGGACTAGATGATCTCCAGAGGTCCTTTCCAACTGATAACATTGTGTGATCCTATGATTCTTTCTCTCATATCTGGACAGCAGTGACTAGAGATACCAGATTCAAGGTAACACAAACAGCAAGGAGAAAATTGCCTGAAACCAGAGAGAAACACTTAACAGGTTTTGCTCATTTCTGTGCATGCTTTCACAAAGCTGTAGCTGAGGGTTGCCAGGACAATACACCATGAGACCAGGATGGTCAGCTCACCTGATAGTCTATCTGGTTTGTATATCAATGAATGTTTTACTTGTGTTTGGATAGGCAGCTAAACCTCTGGATTTGAATGTTTAGGTAAACCAAAATAAAATACTGTAAACTTAAAAGCTGTCCCAACACTAACTGATACTGCATGAGCTTTTTTCTCCATAAAAGGGGGTTACTGTATTTATTATTTAAGCACTTGTGACATTACACTATCAATAGACTCTACCAAATGAGTGTTTTAAGGTAAAGAGGATTAGAGTTTGCCATTAATAAAATCATCTGAATAGATTATCTTCCGTTTATATTAATGTCTCCATGATGGAAAACCCAGATGATAACTCAAAGTCATTATGTTGCTTTTGTAACATTACTTATAAGTGAACAAATGATTATTACTACAAGAGATCTTGTATTAGAGCAATACTAGTAATTTAAACACACTGTGATTTATTTTGCAAAGACATTTCACAATGAGAGACTGAAAAATTGCACCTCAGTTCCTCTCTTTAGCTAAGCTAAAACTGCCATCCTACTGACTTGAATTTGGAAGAGAGGAGATGGGGCTTGAAATACAAATCAGAACATGACTAATCTAAGGATGCTTGCATTTAGCCTACAGTGGGGGATGAATACTCAGACACAAGCTGTAAAAGTGCTCAAGTTGACTAGAGCTTTAAGGTGGATCTGCTGAGACTTTATCCTGCAGTGAAGATCTTCAAGAATACCTAATGAGTTTTAAACTCAAACCCACTAGGTTTTATTAGTCCACAAAATAAAATAATTAATTCTTCAAATGGCAGAAATTGAAAGCACATATGATTTGTCTGTATTAGTAACTAGCACCGAGTAACATGAGTATCAGAACAACAGAACAGTTGGTGCTGATGAGCTGATGTCCACACTATATGTATTATGGGAAATCTACATGTGTTCCAATCCTCTCTGTTGGGCATCCATTTCATCTTAATTTCATCTGAGATGACTTCAGTTTGTGGCACTTTGAGACCAGAACTCAGCTTACAGGGATAGCTGTGAAATTCACTTTAAATACATGCCCTTGATTGAAACTAAAGCACTGCTGTAGCCATACTTACAAAAGACAGTGGAGACACAAAAAGGTCTTTATATTTAACTCTCCGGCTTCCTGCTGTGTTCCTGTGGTTGAGTCCCTGTTCCCAGGACAATCTGCAGACATCAAGAATGCAATCTGCTGCTGAGAAGGGAGTCTTAACCCAAGTGCTATCCACCACAGAAACTTCTGCATTACTCACTGTGTTTAGCAAAAGGAGGACTCTTAAGGTCCTATCCTTAAGGAAAGAAGTCAGTGTAGGTCCATCAGCATGAGCGGAATCATGTTAATTTATATCATCCCTGCAGGAATGTCCCAAGTGAGGAAGTGCCTAACTTTTAAAGCCTTGTGTAGATGATTAAGTCGTTGAATCTGAGATTTTACCATTCTCAAAATAAGCACCACATTACCCTTATTTTTTATTTGTAGGATTTGAATACTTTTAATGTCTTTGGGTTTTTTTGTCAGGGTACAGAATCAGATGATAAAGCAGAGTCCATGGGAACATTAAAACGATTGCAGAAACTAGTCCGAACGAAAAAAACGAGTACACAAAGCCTGGAGGATGTCAAACATGTTATGCTCCCCTTCAGTAAGTAGAGCATCATATCAGCATTCTTTCCAACATTTGGTGAATGACACTGTATTGAGCAGAACTGTAAACAATCCTGTCCTGGTCTGTCATTCACCACCCACAATTTTCAAACCCCAGCTGAGATGTTACTGTGATACCACTTTAGTGCTGACTTCTTCATAGTGTGAAAACCTGTTTCCTGTCACACTAGCTTGAGTTTTGTAACAGTATTTCTTGCAAGTGGGGATTTTAACTAAATAGAATTGTATAACAGTGGGGCTTCCATGCTGGGGAAAATTTGCTTTTGGAGTAGTTCCTAGGTTTGTATCACATTTCAGAACTGAAAGACAAAACTCACAAATGCAAAGAAAACTTTCAGTGTTAATCCATGAGTCAGTAGCAGCTGGGAGTGCAAGGTCTGCAGTACGATAAGCAAGTCAGCCTCTCGTCATATCTGATTGCCAAGGGCCACAAGACACAGGAATTCTAAACTGATGCTGAGATCACGTTCTTTTCTCAAGTCTCCTGTAGATCACTGAACTGACTGTGCAGCAGTTCTTCCTCTGAACTTGTTTTGACAACATTAACAGTGCATGCATTTGTTCTACATTGCATTTGTACATATAATTATTTTTAAATGGATACTAACAAAATGAGTTTAAGCTATCTGATGAACTACTTCTCCAACCAAATTATTGCTTGGACTAAAGCGTATGAGGAAATGTATATATCAGTCACTACTTTGTAACTACAACATATATACAGGGAAGGTTTGGGAGAGGAATTTTAAGGAAACGCTTTCTGAACTTTTCTAGCATTTAAGCTAAACTCACACTCTCTGCAACTATGCAGCAACATGACATTCAGTTAGCAAATTTTGATGTTCAGTGCAGAACCAGTACGATTTTTCTGAGCTTTTGAGGGAGAAAGACAAATTTACCAAATAGAGAATGAATCTTGCTTTTGGCTCAGGTGTCTGACCCAGCATAAAATCCTTTCCATCCTTGTTTTTTTCATTATAATGAAACAGAAAGTACTGAAGAAAGAAAGCATGCTATTTTCTCTATGAATTGCAACATATTGTAACAGAGTTCTTTGCATTTTTAAAGATACGTTAGAAGATGCTTATCTCTCTGAAGAGGATGAAGAAGCACTAACTTCTTGCATGAAACTGACAAAAACTCAGGAAAAGAAGACCTGGAAAGATAATGTGAGGAGAAAAGAAGAGACTGAGACTAGGGCAGATTTTATTTCTGCATCTCTGGGCCGCTCGTACACTTCCAGACTTAATAACTTAGGAACTATTTCAATCCATTCAGAAACTGAGTTTCACTTGTGGAGTGACTGGAAGCCATTTCCTAATAACCAGCTCTGTCCTTGTGACTTCTTGATTTCAAAAATAGAAGAATGGGAAAACTGTACTTGCTCTTCTCATCAGCCGCATCTTACATATTCCCTAACTGATATGGATCTACAGTACTCCTGGGTAAGTGGAAGTGGTTTCTTTTGTGCTGATAGGCATAAAAAGTGGAAACTTTTTGCTCTGATTCAGCATTAAAGAGATGCTGTCATCTTCCATGTGGTTATGAAACGCAATAAACCAAATTTAGCTTTCAGGTAAACGGATGTGAACGCATTGTTCAGGCTAAAACCAGAGGTTCATACAGTCCTTGGTAGTTCATTTTTAACCACACACACATTGTCAGCATTGAGATGGAAGACTTTAGGTTATCCTGTTTCTCATCAGACATACTGTTTTTTTTCATCTCTATGTCACATACTCATCCTTCCAGGCTTAGAAAACTTTCAGGAAGTCTGGGGTAGGTCAGTAAGGGCCAATGAAGCCAGTGGGCTGGGATCAGGCCCCTAGAGGTCACTGCAATACTAGTAAAGGACATTGAAGATATTTAGACAAATATCAGAGATTGAAGAGGTATTGATGTTTCTGCCTTTTTCAATGAACTCAGCTGGTGAAGCCCAGTTTTGCAATTACCTTCGTGGCAGGAAGAGGTTTCTAGGGCCCGATACAAAGGACAGAATTTAATCTTGGTCTGAAATTATCTGTCTGGATAGCTATCTAGAGGATACTTTTTGTATTTTAATTGCTGGCACTTTTTAGAGGACCATTTAAAACTAGAAAATCAAAACGAGGAAAATCTTTAGTTGGTAAGACTAGTTGGACACTGCAACTCCCTTTCCTCACTGGGCACAGCAAGCCCTCTTCTGGAGATGTTCAAGGCCACGCTGGATGGGGTTTTGAGAAACTTGGCCTAGTGGGAGGTGTCCCTGCCCATGTCAGGGAGGTTGGAACTAGCCAATCTATGGGTACTATTCTATGATTCTATGATTCTGGTATGCCACATAGTGGTAAGCACATGGAGGGTGACGGGTTGACAGAAATATATCAAGGAAGAAGTAGAGAGCTGCCTCTTTTCCTTTTACGCCCATTCCCTTTGCAGTGCTCCAGGGACGGAGCTGGCTCTCCCTGTGCAATAGGGCCAGCTTCCAGGAAAGTGCATCTAAACCACAGGAGGCAAGATGAATGCTAAAACCTCCCAGCTGAGTGCTCAAATGGAGGCATAAGCAATCATAACCTTAGATCAGAGAGTCTCCTGATGAAAAAAAGAATTTTTACTAGAGCATGCTCATATATCATTAGGAAAGGTACACTCATGTAGATGTGTGGGTCAATATAGAAACTATATTACTGCCTACATGGAGGCAGTCATTCAGCTTCTTTTCAGTGACACACTAGCTGACATAATAACAGGCAGTACCTGAAACATGGGATTTATCTATGTAGCACAGAGGATTTTCCTGGGATTTGACATAGAAAACAGAAAGGCTAAATCTTTGATTGATGGAACTGTAGTTAGAAGAGAGAGAAAGAAAACTACCCCTAAAAAAAGCTGAGCAAGGTGCAGCAGTGAAACGCTGGAGAGCCTCGGCACTGCAGACTTCCAAGGAGAGCCCCTGGAGACAGACCTTCAAGGCAGAGTGTTGGCAGAAATAGGCTGGGAATAAAAACTGCCAGGTGAGTCCTCCTGTCTGTCAGTAAATAGGACTTTGTAGAAACCAAATTGTGTCAGGGATGCTGGGCTCCTTCCTAGGCCTGCTCCAAATGAAAGCAACTTTTGGCACCCTAAGCTAAGTCCCAGGGCAAAATAGTAATAATAGATGTGTTGGTCAGATTTATGAGTTGCACAAGTGTCAACTCAAATAATTTTATTTCATTTTGTCACAAACAGGCTGTTAACCTTCTCTACCCTGGTGAGATTTGTCCTACCCATGTTACTATTAAGTGCCAGCAAGAGGTTTAGGGTGCTTTTTTCCTACATTATTGTTTATTTTGCCATCTGCTTTCCTGACAAGCTCCCTGACTTTAATGTATCTCTGTGGGCTTAGTGTCTTTAGATTTAAATTACAGGCAATAGCAAGACATCTCATTCGTTGAATTTGCATTCTACCAACTGGCTGAATTGAAGATTACAAAGACTGGATTTTCAGTTTTGCTTTTTAAGAGTCAAACAAGCTGACACTGGTGGTACTGCTATGAGGGGATCAGACACTGGGGATGATGCAGATGTTCTTTCTGATGTTGATTTTCTTATTAGAGTAAAACCTATATGTTCTATAATACTCTTTCTGATTCTCTAAGTAAAGCATCATTTCATTTTCTTGGCTGATCTTGGCTTAGCTACTACTCTATTGTCTCTGCTGCAGCATGATGTGGAGGAGATGGCCTGAGATATACTACTAAAATGCCAGCTGATACGTCCTGAATTGAAAAAACAGGCAAAACTGGTATATTCAAGACTAAGATTCAAAGCTCTGTTATTCCATCAGCAAACTGTAGCTGATCTGGCTTGGGGGATAGACAAATATCTAGGTTGGACACATATTATCTAGCCTCTTCTCAGCAACATGCGCAAAGCTGATTGAGCCTAGTCTTAATTAAAGCTTGAATTGCAGATAGTAAATTAAGTAGTGCTCTCCCATAATCACAAGGAAAAAGACCTGGATTTCTTAATGATATACTTCTATTTAGAGAGACGAAATACCAGTGACCCTAATTCCCTTCGTGCAGGTTCTTCTCTTGACTCCTTTCTTCTTCTTCCTTTCATCCTCCTCAGCACTTTATACAGCCTCCCTTATTGCACTTCATGTTGCCATTGTTTGTTTCACCTAAAATAATAAAAAGGCTGACAGAGATCATCTGAGCTGGTCACTTAAACAAGAGCTGTCAGAACAGACTGCAAAAGTCACATCCATTCTTAGCTACACCAGGGTCACCAAACACCTCGAGCTACTCTTCCTTCAGTTTCCCCAACTTAAGTGCACAATAAAGATCTGTGTGAGCTGACTGCCTCTGGCACAGGGACCTCGGAGACAGCTAAAATCTCACCCATCCTGCCTACCTTCATGTATCATGAAAACATTTTAGAAGCTTGTATTTCTGTCCTTCAGGTAAATACAGAAATGAATGTGCTGCATTACCATTTTATACCCATGGTGCCACCGTTATCAACTTTGTGCAAAGTTAACTTAGACTTAAGTCATTTTTTTCTTCATTGTTCAGCTGTTTACAATATAATTAGTCGTTTGTCCAAATTTTGCTAGAGGCGACACAGAGCACTGCATTTTTTGGTGTGTCAAGATTGCCATGTGAAATTATTGTTACTGATATTCTTCCTAAGGAGATATAATTCATAAATAGTTCTTCCTTAGAGAGTGGAAGAATATATTTTAAATACTGAATACTTCAGCAAAAAAAAAAAAGCCTGAATAAAAAAACTACTGTGCTGCATATTTTCATATTATCAGAAAGTATATTGGGGAGAGAAATGAGTGATCCAGGCCAGTGTTTGTAATGTTATGAATCAGCTGAAATTGAGGCAGAGGATGGAAGAAAAGATTGTCCAGACATCACTTTAACAGCCACTTGACCTTAATGTGAAAGGTTACTGGTTCTTATACTTCTTTTTACTTGTCAGGCTTAGCCCTGCAGAAAACAGTTCAGCTGTCAGTCTCAGACTTTTTCTCTCTCTCTTTTTTTTTTTTCTTAAATTGTGGTTAGTAGAAGCTGCCCTTCTGCTATTTGTATGTTACAATCTTCACTACTCTAACAAAATAGTATACTTAGAAGTGCCATGTCTGTATGACTCGCATACAAGCCATTTCAGCCTTCTGTTGCTTTTTCTCAATCTGTGCATTGCATAAGACTTTTGCAACCCCATGTAAGACATGAAAAATCTAGAGTCAGAAGCCTGGAAAGTACAGGATCTTGATAGACTTGATTGGCCCTGAAGCAGGCACAGAGCGGAGCACATAGTGGGGTCACAACTGAAGGATTCTCTTCACAAAAGGGTTCCCAGACTGTATTGGATGGCCTGAAACAGAGAGAGAAGAGCTGATGACTCCCTTTCTCCTATCTCTCAACTTCACTGGCTGATCCAGTTACTCTCCCAATAACTGCGCAGTATGGAGGCTGTGTTTGTAGGACAACACAGGCATCCGTTACAGGAAACGAGAGGAGGTAACACCTCCTGTTGGAGACAAATCAGCAGAGAGCTAATGGAAGTGGGTTTCACTTCATGCAGTATGGTTAGATTTAAGAGAAGAAGGATTTAGTCATTGATATCACGAGCATGTTTATCTGTTGCAACCTGTGCTTGATATTCAGTGATAATGAAAAGATGAGGGTTGTTTCCCAGGACTAGAGAAAAACGGGGATTTTGGTGGGGACAAAGAAAGAATCTAAGGACGCTGCAGATCAGCATATCTTTTCTCTCCCATTTTCAGAGTAGAAAGCTTCAAAAGACTGGTTTCTATCCAATATAAATCCATTACATTGTATTTGAGGGAACAATAAGTTTGGGAAAACTTCAAGTGACTTCATGCCAACATCTGTGTTCATTCTCTCCATATTCCTCTCAGGAGTATGTTATGGTCTTCTCGTGGTTATGTTAGCCCAGCTGTTTATGACCATAGTGCTCTGCCATTTTAGTGATCTTATGTTTTTTTTTTGCTTTCCTCCTACTCTCACTTTCTTGCCAGATAAGCATTTCTCAGCATCTCCCTTTGACCCTCAGTAGATATATCTAGTTTGAGATTCATATATTTGTTGAAGAAACACTCTTCTCAGCTCTGGTTTTGGACATTTTCTTGTTCTAAATTCTCCTGACATATTCTATATGTTCTGGTTCCTGATTTCCCCTTAACAGCTTTGCTTGCTTGCTGTGATTGCTGTGGGAAGATTGGAAGATTTCTACTTTATTTCAGCCAGTAGTTTCTCCTGTGCTCTAGAATGCTGTGGGCTTTAATGGACTTTCTGGCTGCTCAAATTTCTTAAGCAATTTGACTGCTTTCTGCATTTTGTTTTTCTTTCTTAAGCTGATGTGTTTCTGCTGAGAGACAACTGAATATGCCTTCAAAGATCTTTCTCAATTACATTTTGAATCTATATTTGGCACAAATATAGCACTA